GCATGCACCGTGTAGTGGTGTCTGTAGTCTGTTTTTCTCTTATACGTTTAAAGATATATTTTTTTCATTAATGTTAATGTAAAGATTTTTAATTTTGCACCAAAAGAATCTTAGAAAACTTACCTAACCTTATTATAACAAGAACAATTTATTTTAACCTAACCCAACTAAATATATTTTAAATACGTTTACAGTAATTTAATACTAAACAAACACAGTGAAATATATTTATTTCGTTAGGTTCAGGATGATTTTTTGCGAAATTATTGCATACACAAATTTTCAATTGTCCTATATGGCAAGATGAACGTTGCTATTTAAGACAAGATCGCAAGTTCTGCCTATTCGGCACGACATATATAACACACACACACACACACACACACACACACACACACACACACACACACACACACACACACACACACACACACACACACACGAGTCGAGGTTTTTTTTAGCTTCAATAGCAACAGTCTTCTTCTCTAATAAGGACAGCGAAAATTTGTGTATGAAGTAATTTCGCAAAACTCATTCTAAACATAACGAAAAAATATTTCGTTGTGTTTGTTTAATATTATGTTATTGTAAGCTTATCAAAAATATATTTAGTTGGATTAGACTAAATTAAATTCTGCTTGTTATAATAAGGTTAGGTGAGTTTTCTAAGGTTCTTTTGGTACAAATTTATTAATTTTTACATGAACATAAATGAAAAAATATATATCTTAAAACGTATAAGAGAAAATTTTAGAAAGGACTTGATTTTAAAAGAGTTCTTGCTAATTGACCAATTTTACCTATTCGGCACGACATACATATATCTGAGGTGGACCGAGTAGCCAGCAAGAGCTCTGGTAATATTACCACATAAGCTCTACTGCGATAGTTATCATATCACCTAAGTCCCGCGTCAGCGGAAAAAAGTCTATTTCTCTTGGCAAATAACCCCCTTCCCGATTTTACCAATGAAAAACTATTTATAATTTTCCGTGTCTTTATTGTGGTTTGGTCCACAAGAGATAAGATGATGTGTTAATGTTTCACTGCCATGAAGACGATCAAGTTCGTATTGGAATGTACATGGCACTTTGTGTAGAGCAAAGTAACCATGAGTGAGAGTGCTGCTCTACCACGCTCTCATACATGAGAGTGCTGCTCTACCACGCTCTCATACATGAGAGAGAGTGCTGCTCTACCACACTCTCATACATGAGAGAGAGTGCTGCTCTACCACGCTCTCATAACATGACTCACCACCTGTGAAAAGTTTTATTCTCTGGCAGGATTGCTGCTCTTTTATTTTTGTCTCATGATCATTTAAGGCATCTTGTAAATCATTCACTTCTTTATATCTTTGATATACCTTTGATGAGTTTCGAGTGTCTTACTACTCTCGGAGACCGGCCATGGGCCAGGCTCATGTAGTGCTAACCTGGTTAACCAGGCTGTTGCTGCTGAAGGCTCGCTGCCTCACGTATCCAAAACAGCCTGGTTGATCTAGCACCTGGTGAAGATACTTGCCCAGTTTTCTCTTGAAGACGTCTACATATGTTCCAGCCATGTTTCTGATAACTTCTAGTAAGATGTTGAATAGTCTGCGGCCACGAATGTTGATACAGTGTTACCTTACTGTACCCACTACAGCCCTGCTTTTCACTTTTTTTTTTATTTCCTCCCATATCTCTCGCTCCAGTAAGTTGTGTGTGCAGATTTGGGACCAAGGCCTTGAGTACTTTCCAGGTATATATTATCATGTGTGTGTGTGTCTTCTCCGCTCCAGTGAGTACATGTTCAAGACATGAATGTGTTCCCAGTAATTTAAATGCTTTACTGGCTCTATGTGGGAAGGGGGATACAAGTTTCCACGTACATGTAGTTACTAGAAGGTGGCTACAGCACTGAGAGCTGCTTACTTTGTGTTAATCGCACAAGAAGTAAGCAGCTCTCACTACTGCAGTTACCTTCCAGGATCTACATGTACCTGGAAACAGTTATATCCTACCTCCCCAAGTTGCCACAATTTCAAATCACAAGGAAGCTGAAAGAAAACATTAAAGCCATACTAATGTAAAAAAAACATGCAGGGATGAAATGGTAAGTTTACGCTGAATGTATGAAGAAGTGAAAATGATTTACGAAATGTCTTAAATGATCATGAGACAAAAATAAAAGACCACCTGGTGGCCTGGTGGTTAACGCTCTCGCTTCACACGGTGAGGGCCTGGGTTCGATTCCCAGCCAGAGTAGAAACATTGGACGTGTTTCTTTCCACCTGTTGTCTATGTTCCCCATCAGTAAAATGGGTACCTGGGTGTTAGTCGACTGGTGTGGGTCGCATCCTGGGACACTGACCTAAGGAGGCCTGGTCACAGACCGGGCCGCGGGGGCGTTGACCCCCGGAACTCTCTCCAGGTATCGGGATTCCTGCCAGAGAGTAAAACTTTTTAACAGATGGTAACTCATGTTATGACAGCGGTGTACAAAAGCACTGTTGTGTGATGGTGGACTTGTCTGCAATGTGGCTTACACAATGTATTACATTATCAACATGACCATAATTTTAACATGACCTTATCTTATCCATTAGGTAGACCTTTCATCTGTTACTTCAACAGTTAACATCCAACTATGACAGTCATTATGTACTCAGCCCCTCAAGGGTGAGTGGTGTGACTGACAGCACTGACTGAGTGCTGGTGATGAAACTGTTGGTTGCGTAAGGTAATGACAACATAAATGCTATAGTTATGTATTTTCTTGATTTGGCATGAGGTCAGTGTTCTTGTTGAGAGTTGCGAGGTTAGATTGTGTGAACACACTCTCTCTCTCTCTCTCTCTCTCTCTCTCTCTCTCTCTCTCTCTCTCTCTCTCTCTCTGTCTCTCCTCTCTCTCTCTCTCTCTGTCTCTCTCTCTCGTCTCTCTCTCTGTCTCTCTCTCTCTCTCTCTCTCTCTCTCTCTCTCTCTCTCTCTCTCTCTCTCTCTCTCTCTCTCTCTCTCTCTCTCTCTCTCTCTCTCTCTCTCTCTTCTCTCTCTCTCTCTTCTCTCTCCTCTCTTCTGTCTCTCTCTCTCTCTCTCTCTCTCTCTCTCTCTCTCTCTCTCTCTCTCTCTCTCTCTCTCTCTCTCTCCTCTCTCTCTCTCTCTCTCTCGTTTGTGTATCACCATCATCGTTAAGCTCCAGCATTTATGGTTTACCCCGGCTAGATGGGTCGACGATACCGTTGTAGGGAGGGTGTGGGTAGTGGGTGATGGGCGTGAGTGACTGGAGTAGTGGAGATGGTGCATATAATTACGGCACTGGCACCACACTCGCACCGGAAATGTCAACCACTGGTTACCACTGCCACCGCCACCACTGCTGCACCGTCATTAATCGAAAGGGAGCTGGACAGATACCTAAAGACGGTGCCGGATCAGCCGGGCTGTGGTTCGTACGTTGGATTGCGTGCGGCCAGCAGTAACAACTTCGTTGATCAGGCCCTGATCCACCGGGAGGCCTGGTCGTGGACTGGACCGCGGGGGCGTTGATCCCCGGAATGCTGTCCAGGTAGACTCCAGGTAATTCCTCTAGACAATTCCGAGGATCACCGCCTTCACGTTACGGTCCCAAACCAGTTTTAGTTCATGGCATGATCAACCAAACTGTTTGCGCTAGTCGCACGCAGTCCAGCGTAGGCACAAGAGCCCGACTGATCATGAGTATGTTAGGATGGGTTTCATAAATGAATCTTAAGGAGAATCATTGTGAGAGGAACATGGTAACGTTGTCCTGGGCTCCGCATACAACAACACTTTATGTTAGCAGTATTAACATTAGCACCATGATGAGCTTGAAATATCCTTGTTAGTATGATGTTCATAAGTGAGCTATCAGGGTAGGTCAGAATGTGTCACCATGTTAGTTGACACACTGGCTGGTCTGGTCACCATGTTAGTTGACACACTGGCTGGTCTGGTCACCATGTTAGTTGACACACTGGCTGGTCTGGTCACCATGTTAGTTGACACACTGGCTGGTCTGTCACCATGTTAGTTGACACACTGGCTGGTCTGGTCACCATGTAGTTACACACTGCTGGTCTGGTCACCATGTTTAGTTGACACACTGCTGGTCTGGTCACCATGTTAGTTGACACACTGGCTGGTCTGGTCACCATGTTAGTTGACACACTGGCTGGTCTGGTCACCATGTTAGTTGACACACTGGCTGATCTGGTCACCATGTTAGTTGACACACTGGCTGGTCTGGTCACCATGTTAGTTGACACACTGGCTGGTCTGGTCACCATGTTAGTTGACACAGTGGCTGGTGTTGTCACCATGTTAGTTGACACACGGGCTGGTTGTGGTCACCATGTTAGTTGATACAGTGGCTAGGTTGTGGTCACCATGTTAGTTGACACACTGGCTGTGTGGTCACCATGTTGTTGATACAGTGGCTGGTGTTGTCACCATGTTAGTTGATACACTGCTGGTGTGGTCATCATGTTAGTTGATACCTGGCTGGTGTTGTCCCTGTTAGTTGACACACTGGCTGGTGTGGTCACAATGTTAGTTGATACAGTGCTGGTGTTGTCCACCATGTTAGTTGACACACTGGCTGGTTCTGGTCACCCATGTTAGTTGACACACATGGCTGGCCCTTGTCACCATGTTAGTTTACCACAGTGGCTTGTGTGGTCACCATGTTAGTTGACACAGTGGCTGGTGTGGTCCACCCATGTTAGTTGACAAAGTGGCTGGTGTGGGTCACCATGTTAGTTGACACAGTGGTGGCTTGGTGTGGGCACCATGTTAGTTGACACAGTGGTGGTTGTCACCATTTAGTTGACACAGTGGCTGGTGTGGTCACCATATTAGTTGACACAGTGGCTGGTGTGGTCACCATGTTAATTTACACACTGGCTGGTGTGGTCACCATGTTAATTGACACAGTGGCTGGTGTGGTCACCATGTTAGTTACACAGTGGCTGGTGTGGTCACCATGTTAATTTACACACTGGCTGGTGTGGTCACCATGTTAGTTGACACAGTGGCTGGTGTGGTCACCATGTTAGTTGACACACTGGCTGGTGTGGTCACCATGTTAGTTGACACAGTGGCTGGTGTGGTCACCATGTTAGTTGAAACAGTGGCTGGTGTGGTCACCATGTTAGTTGACACAGTGGCTGTGTGGTCACCATGTTAATTGACACACTGGCTGGTGTGGTCACCATGTTAGTTGACACTCTGGCTGGTGTGGTCACCATGTTAGTTGACACAGTGGCTGGTGTGGTCACCATGTTAGTTGACACAGTGGCTGGTGTGGTCACCATGTTAGTTGATACAGTGGCTGGTGTGGTCACCATGTTAGTTGACACACTGGCTGGTGTGGTCACCATGTTGACACAGTGGCTGGTGTGGTCACCATGTTAGTTGACACACTGGCTGATCTGGTCACCATGTTAGTTGACACACTGGCTGGTCTGGTCACCATGTTAGTTGACACACTGGCTGGTCTGGTCACCATGTTAGTTGACACAGTGGCTGGTGTTGTCACCATGTTAGTTGACACACTGGCTGGTGTGGTCACCATGTTAGTTGATACAGTGGCTGGTGTGGTCACCATGTTAGTTGACACACTGGCTGGTGTGGTCACCATGTTAGTTGATACAGTGGCTGGTGTTGTCACCATGTTAGTTGATACACTGGCTGGTGTGGTCATCATGTTAGTTGATACACTGGCTGGTGTTGTCACCATGTTAGTTGACACACTGGCTGGTGTGGTCACAATGTTAGTTGATACAGTGGCTGGTGTTGTCACCATGTTAGTTGACACACTGGCTGGTCTGGTCACCATGTTAGTTGACACACTGGCTGGTCTTGTCACCATGTTAGTTTACACAGTGGCTGGTGTGGTCACCATGTTAGTTGACACAGTGGCTGGTGTGGTCACCATGTTAGTTGACAAAGTGGCTGGTGTGGTCACCATGTTAGTTGACACAGTGGTGGCTGGTGTGGGCACCATGTTAGTTGACACAGTGGCTGGTGTGGTCACCATGTTAGTTGACACAGTGGCTGGTGTGGTCACCATATTAGTTGACACAGTGGCTGGTGTGGTCACCATGTTAATTTACACACTGGCTGGTGTGGTCACCATGTTAATTGACACAGTGGCTGGTGTGGTCACCATGTTAGTTGACACAGTGGCTGGTGTGGTCACCATGTTAATTTACACACTGGCTGGTGTGGTCACCATGTTAGTTGACACAGTGGCTGGTGTGGTCACCATGTTAGTTGACCAACTGGCTGGTGTGGTCACCATGTTAGTTGACACAGTGGCTGGTGTGGTCACCATGTTAGTTGACACAGTGGCTGGTGTGGTCACCATGTTAGTTGACACAGTGGCTGGTGTGGTCACCATGTTAATTGACACACTGGCTGGTGTGGTCACCATGTTAGTTGACACTCTGGCTGGTGTGGTCACCATGTTAGTTGACACAGTGGCTGGTGTGGTCACCATGTTAGTTGACACAGTGGCTGGTGTGGTCACCATGTTAGTTGATACAGTGGCTGGTGTGGTCACCATGTTAGTTGACACACTGGCTGGTGTGGTCACCATGTTGACACAGTGGCTGGTGTGGTCACCATGTTAGTTGACACAGTGGCTGGTGTGGTCATCATGTTAGTTGACACACTGGCTGGTGTGGTCACCATGTTAGTTGACACAGTGGCTGGTGTGGTCACCATGTTAGTTTACACAGTGGCTGGTGTGGTCACCATGTTAGTTGACACAGTGGCTGGTGTGGTCACCATGTTAGTTGACACACTGGCTGGTGTGGTCGCCATGTTAGTTGACACAGTGGCTGGTGTGGTCACCATGTTAGTTGACACACTGGCTGGTCTGGTCACCATGTTAGTTGACACACTGGCTGGTCTGGTCACCATGTTAGTTGACACACTGGCTGGTGTAGTCACCATGTTAGTTGATACAGTGGCTGGTGTGGTCACCATGTTTGTTGACACAGTGGCTGGTGTGGTCACCATGTTAGTTGACACACTGGCTGGTGTGGTCACCATGTTAGTTGACACAGTGGCTGGTGTTGTCACCATGTTAGTTGACACAGTCGCTGGTGTTGTCACCATGTTAGTTGACACACTGGCGGGTTTGTGGTCACCATGTTAGTTGACACAGTGACTGGTGTGGTCACCATGTTAGTTGACACAGTGACTGTGTGGTCACCATGTTAGTTGACACAGTGGCTGGTGTTGTCACCATGTTAGTTGACACAGTGGCTGGTGTGGTCACCATGTTAGTTGACACAGTGGCTGGTGTTGACACACTGGCTGGTGTTGTCACCATGTTAGTTGACACAGTGGCTGGTGTTGTCACCATGTTAGTTGACACAGTGACTGGTGTGGTCACCATGTTAGTTGGCACAGTGGCTGGTGTGGTCACCATGTTAGTTGACACACTGGCTGGTGTAGTCACCATGTTAGTTGATACAGTGGCTGGTGTGGTCACCATGTTTGTTGACACAGTGGCTGGTGTGGTCACCATGTTAGTTGACACACTGGCTGGTGTGGTCACCATGTTAGTTGACACAGTGGCTGGTGTTGTCACCATGTTAGTTGACACAGTCGCTGGTGTTGTCACCATGTTAGTTGACACACTGGCTGGTGTGGTCACCATGTTAGTTGACACAGTGACTGGTGTGGTCACCATGTTAGTTGACACAGTGACTGGTGTGGTCACCATGTTAGTTGACACAGTGGCTGGTGTTGTCACCATGTTAGTTGACACAGTGGCTGGTGTGGTCACCATGTTAGTTGACACAGTGGCTGGTGTTGACACACTGGCTGGTGTTGTCACCATGTTAGTTGACACAGTGGCTGGTGTTGTCACCATGTTAGTTGACACAGTGACTGGTGTGGTCACCATGTTAGTTGGCACAGTGGCTGGTGTGGTCACCATGTTAGTTGACACACTGGCTGGTGTTGTCACCAGGTACCTGGTGTGAGGAACCTTCAACACTACACATAATGGAGTCTTCTACTTGTCGTGTACTTGTAGATGTAACGTGTTAGTAGAAGGTCTTTTACTCTGCATATCTTCCAACACTTGTCACCTCACACCCATAATACACCTATATTTTACACACACACACACACACACACACACACACACACACACACACACACACACAGTGAAGAGGCGGGGCCAGGAGCTCGGACTCCCCCCGAACCTCAACTAGGTGAGTACAACTAGGTGAGTAACACACACACACACACACACACACACACACTCACACACACACACACAGCACACGCGCGGCGCGCACACAGCGTTTGACTCTGTACCACCTGTTGTACTCACCTAGTTGAGGTTGCGGGGGTCGAGTCCAAGCTCCTGGCCCCGCCTCTTCACTGGTCGCTACTAGGTCACTCTCCCTGAGCCGTGAGCTTTTCATACCTCTGCTTAAAGCTATGTATGGATCCTGCCTCCACTACATCGCTTCCCAAACTTTTCCCACTTACTGACTATTGTGGCTGAAGAAATATTTTCCTAACATCCCTGTGATTCATCTGTGTCTTCAGCTTCCAACTGTGTCCCCTTGTTACTGTGTCCAATCTCTGGAACATCCTGTCTTTGTCACCTTGTCAATTCCTCTCAGTATTTTGTATGTCGTTATCATGTCCCCCTATCTCTCCTGTCCTCCAGTGTCGTCAGGTTGATTTCCCTTAACCTCTCCTCGTAGGACATCCTCTTAGCTCTGGGACTAGTCTTGTTGCAAACCTTTGCACTTTCTCTAGTTTCTTTACGTGCTTGGCTAGGTGTGGGTTCCAAACTGGTGCCGCATACTCCAATATGGGCCTAACGTATACGGTGTACAGGGTCCTGAACGATTCCTTATTAAGATGTCGGAATGCTGTTCTGAGGTTTGCTAGGCGCCCATATGCTGCAGCAGTTATTTGGTTGATGTGCGCTTCAGGAGATGTGCCTGGTGTTATACTCACCCCAAGATCTTTTTCCTTGAGTGAGGTTTGTAGTCTCTGACCCCCTAGACTGTACTCCGTCTGCGGCCTTCTTTGCCCTTCCCCAATCTTCATGACTTTGTGTGTTTGTGCGTGTGTGTGCGCTTGTGTGTGCGCGTGTGTGTGCGCGCGTGTACTCGCCTAATTGTGCTTGCAGGGGTCGAGACTTAGCTCCTGGCCCCGCCTCTTCACCGAGTGCTACTAGGTCCTCTCCCTGCTCCATAGCTTTGTCATACCTCATCTTAAAGCTATGTATGGTTCCTGCCTCCACTACCTCACTTGCTAGACTGTTCCACTTCCTGACTATGACTGAAGAAATACTTCCTAACTTCCCTGTGACTCGTCTGAGTCTTCAGCTTCCAATTATGAACCCTTGTTTCTGTGTCCCCTCTCTGGAACATCCTGTCTGTCCACCTTGTCTATTCCGCGCAGTATTTTGTATGTCGTTATCATGTCTCCCCTAACCCTCCTGTCCTCCAGTGTTGTCAGGCCGATTTCCCTTAACCTTTCCTCATAGGACATTTCCCTTAGCTCTGGAACTAACCTTCTCGCAAACTTTTGCACTTTCTCTAATTTCTTCACATGCTTGATCATGTGTGGGTTCCAAAAGGTGCAGCATACTCCAGTATGGACCTGACGTACACGGTGTACAGTGTCTTGAACGATTCCTTACTAAGGTATCGGAACGCTGTTCTCAGGTTTGCCAGGCGCCCGTATGCTGCAGCAGTTATCTGGTTGTGTGCCTCCGGAGACGTGCTCGGTGTTATACTTACCCCAAGATCTTTTTTTCTTGAGTGAGGTTTGCAGTCTTTGGCCACCTAGACTATACTCTGTCTGCGGTCTTCTGTGCCCTTCCCCGATTTTCATGACTTTGCATTTGGCGGGGTTAAATTCGAGAAGTCAGTTTCTGGACCAGGTGTCCAGTCTGTCCAGGTCTCTTTGTAGTCCTGCCTGATCCTCATCTGATTTAATTCTCCTCATTAACTTCACATCATCTGCGAACAGGGACACTTTTGAGTCTATCCCTTCCATCATGTGTGTGTTTGTGTGTGTGTGTACTCACCTAGTTGTGGTTGCAGGGGTCGATTCATAGCTCCTGGCCCCTGGCTTCTGGCTTCTGTGTGTGTGTGTGTAAG